TGCTTAGAGTAGAAGCGGAGACTCTTCCTTTTCTCTGAACTGTCGTTTTCATCTCTTGCGGACCATGGCAGTATTGGCATACTTAACACACCAGAAGTCAGCATTTTAGGGTTAAGTTAGGTGCGCCACGGCACGAGGATGGGGCTAGCGCCTTGCCTTTTCATCCTTTTGAGCAAATGTTTAAGTTGTGTTATTAGGATGCTTCAAGCCCACGGTGGGGAAGGGTGCGCCCAGCTCTCTTCTCGATGAAATCCTTCAGAGACTTCTCTTGAAATCCGGTGTCTCTGCAGGCAGAGCTCATTGCAGAGTCTGTGCTTTCGCCAGGGTGCTGCTCGTCCAGAGCCAGTACTTCAGCATGACCGCAGATGGCCAGAGAGTTTTGGAGGAGGACGTGAGAGTAGCGTTAGGCCTGTGGTACGTAGTGCGCGCTTCTCAAAGACTCGGTTGTTGGGGGGAGGTCTAGCCAGTGTTACTTTTTTTGGGGGGGAAAAAATCCATAATGGTGCATCTCAAACACCCAACTGCAGTCATTGATTTGCGTTTCCTTATTTGTAGTCTTCACGTGAGAGTGCGTTGCTAAGCTGCATTTAATTTGCAAGGTCCAGGAAAGAAGCACTGCGTTACCTTAGGCAGTCACGGAAAGAAGTGTGAATCCTTTGTGGGATGGGGTCTGTGAAGCTGCTGCATGTTAAACATTTCTGTGAACTGCTGATGTTTGCATTAAAAAGCTTCTGCGTGTGTAGGAACCACCAATGAAACTTCAGTAAGCCTGAGGTCTGTGCTGTTCAGGACGAGTCAGTAAACACAACATGCGAGGAGCGAGCAGAAAAAGAGGCTTTGGGGAGCTTTGCTGCAGAGAATTAGCCTCAGAAATTTAATTCAGCAAATTCAGGGACTGCAGGCAAAGGTAAACTCTCTCCTGGAACCAAACACTAAAGTATTTTGCAGCACAGTTGCATGAAACCTGGCCCGGGATGGGGTAATGTGGCAGCCAGCAGCGCGCTGTGTTTCAGTAAGGCTCCCAGCCCTTTCCTGGGCTGTGTGCGGGGACTTGGCTAGTCTCCAGCCGCTGAGCTGGCAGCTGCTGCCCTTCCTGAGGCTGAGGGCAGAGCCGGTGGGCAGGCAGATGGCCACGCTGGTGGGACGGGGGCCTGGCAGGAGCCTTGCACCGGCGGCACCGCTGCCAGCAAGACCTGCTGGGGTGTGAGCAAGGGCAGCATCTCTTGCAAGGCCAGACCAGCGCTGCCTTGCGGTAGGTGATGCTGACCCCAGTGACCCTGGCAGCATGTCACAGCAGGGAAACGTGTGAGAGGTGGGTTTGGTTTTTTGGGTCTGTTTTTTGGAAGCCTGAGTGGACACTGCTGCCTACAGCCCGCA